CCACCAAATGCATATTTGTTGGATATCCATCAGGTACAAAGGCATGGAAGTGCTGGAACCCTGTAACTAAGAAGTTCATCATATCAAGCCATGTCGTTTTTGACGAGCGAGTGTTCCCAGGAAATACAAAAACTCTTATCAATCCTTTCAGTGATCTATTTTCTCCACTCTCAAATCTGTCAGATTCTCCTACGCTGCCTGATCAAGGGGGAGACCTTAACAATGATGATCTTCCACCTCCAGAAAATCCTCCAGCACCAAATCCCTCACCTTCTCTAAGCCCATCACCTCCAGTATCACCCCTTCCCCATGATGTTACGACTCCTCCCGGCTCACCATTCAACGGATCTCTCTCAGACCTAACTCCATCACCATCACCACCACCTCCAACAGACCTAGGCAAACATGAATACAGAATACGTGATGATGGCTTATATGATCCTGGCCCTGGTTATGGTCGTGGAATGCGCCGAAATGTTAACAACGATGATCATGCAAGAGATGCAGAGGATCAAGCACACACAGCCTTTATGGAAGACAAAACCATTCTTGAAGGCATAGCTTTCTCCAGCCAGACAATAGAGCACTTGACGATGGAAGAAGGACTGGAAGTTGCATTTGAAAGCATGACAGAAGCAGCTTACAAGGCATCTACACATGATGGTGAACCTAAATCCTTCCGTGAAGCTATGAAACGCTCTCCAGAGGAAGCTGCAAGTTGGTATGAAGCCGCTATGCAAGAGATACAGGCACTCATTGAAAACGGTGTCTTCGAATTGGTGAAATGCCCTCCAAATCGAAAGGCAGTTGGGAGTCGCTGGGTATTCAAAGTAAAACGCAATGCCGATGGATCAATTGAGCGCTATAAAGCAAGACTTGTTGCAAAGGGATACTCACAACGACCTGGCTTCGATTACACTGAAACCTTCTCTCCAACACCAAAATGGGCTGCTCTACGAGCTGTCCTGGCACTCGGTGCCCTCGAGGATTTAGAGCTATGGAGTGTCGATATCTCATCAGCATTTCTCAATGGTGAGCTGACAGAAGAGGTGTATATGGAGCAGCCAGAAGGTTTTGAGGAAAAAGGAAAGGAATGGGTCTGGCGCCTCTTCAAGTCTCTATACGGACTAAAGCAAGCTGGGAGAGAATGGCACAAAAAGCTACATGCAACATTGACCAATGCCATGGGTTTTGAACGGGTAAAATGCGAGCATAGCGTCTGGGTCTACAAGAGGGACAGTGAGCGTATCATCATTCCAGTCTTCGTTGACGACATGACTATCGCCACAAAGACACCAGATGGCGTTACAAAGGTCATCAACGATCTCAAGAAGCACTTCAAGCTTCGAGACTTGGGTCCAACGTCTTACCTCCTTGGTGTCGAGATCAAGCGTGACCGAGCCAACCGAACACTCTCTCTCTCCCAGCGCCAATACACCCTAGATATTCTGCAACGTGCAGGAATGGCTGACTGCAACCCTGTTCTGACACCTTTGGATCCAAACATAAAACTTACAGCAGATCAGTCTCCCAAAACACCAGAGGAATATGAGACAATGCGGACAATCCCATACCTGAATGTGCTCGGCTCTGTGGCCTACCTCGCTATTGCTACCAGGCCCGATGTTGCCTACCCCGTGAGCGTACTCTCACGATTCAGCAAAAACCCCGGCACAGCCCACTGGGAAGCTCTCAAACGGCTATTACGCTATCTGAAGGGCACAGTTGACTATCGCATTGTCTACTCTCCTGACTCTGAGTCAGATTCGTCAGTCTTTGACTTCAAGACTTATTGCGATGCAGATCATGGGGGCGACAAAGATAGTGGGCGTTCTACAAGCGGCTTCATTGTCAAAATGGGTACTGGAGCCATCAGCTGGATGAGTCGTCTTCAGGCATTTGTGACACTCTCGACAACAGAGGCAGAATACGTTTCAGCCGTGTCTGCTGGTCAGGAAATCCTTTGGCTTCGCAACTTGTTCACAGAGTTTGGCTATTCACTCACCAATGCCTCAGTCCTCTATATCGACAACGAGTCTGCTCTGTCAGTTGCCCGAAACCCTGAACATCATGGCCGGGTCAAACACCTTGACCTTCGATTCTATTGGCTGCGCGATGAAGTTGAAAAAGGGCGCATCCATGTGGTCCACTTACGAACCGAAAATATGCCAGCCGATGCCTTGACAAAGGGATTAGGAAGAGAGAAGCTCAGACACATGATTACCTTACTCGGACTTGTCTCAATACCTCCGTAGACATGTTCGGTTGAGGGGGAGTGTTGAAGTAGCACACCCTCCATGTCGCTCTTACCTTACATAATCGTAGCTACCAATACTGGAGGTCGAAAGTCAACGCTTACTAGCTTTTGACTTTCGACTCCAGGTATGTATCACATACCGTTTATAACCACTAGCT